TGCCACGTGAAATCTCCTATAATTCCTCACCGCTTTTCAGCAGCTTCCCTTGTCATTTCTGCACAAGTTAATGAGAATGGATGTCGTGGAATCCCATCGGTGAGGAATGAGGATAAAGCTCGAAATCGTCTGTATCGGGTTGGCAAACAAGGGCACCTCGCTTGGTACGTGTGTGGGCGACGCAGTACAAACAGGGGTGAATCGATGTGTTCCCCCAAAGGAAGACACAAAAACGTGGTTCAAAGAGGAGGGAGAGGAAACGGTGAGATGAGGTTGCGGTGGAGGCGGCGGCGGCGCCGTGACACAGGGGGTGCGCCACACCGTCACGCAGACCAGTTTGATCGTTTCTCGCTCGCACCCTGGGGAGATCATTAACCAGTGATATGGAGTCCATCAATCCTCACAGAATACACCCCCCCCCTCTGTCTGCCTCTTCCTCTGTTTGTCTGCGTGTGCCTCGTGCGTGTTTCAGGATCACGCATATCTCGTTGGAGAAAAGGGCTGCGTGATGGAGACTCCCTTTGGGTTTGATAGAGAAAAAGGAAAGTCAAGGTCAATGTTGATGTTATGCAGCCAGCTATATATAAATTAACATATATATATATTTTTTCATAAATCCTAACCCCGAACCTCTAACCCCTGAACCTTTACATCAAACGCCTAACCTTAACCTCCTCAGCCTAACCCCCTTAACCTTAACCCTCACCCTGATGCTCACACTCACCCCTGCCCACGTTCAAAATAAGACCCGGGCTCGTCGCCAGATGAAGGGAAAATCACACGTTCCTCCACAAATGAACTCGATTCGCACTTTTGGTGTGAAAACATAATGTGTTTTACAAATATGACAATGTATGACGCGGAGCAGCCCGAAAGGCACTTCAAGGTCAAATAAGAAGAAATAAGCCCTGGAGATATGAAATGCTTCAGCACATGTTTAACACATAGCAGCACAGCCATAAATGCAATGTGAGGGGCAATAAACGAGCATTCTAATAGCTTTTTTCCCCTTTGCATTTTTCCCTCTGCTGCACACACACACACACACACACACACACACACACACACACACACACACACACACAGACCAACCACACACACACACACACACACAAAATAATTCATTGTGACTATGAGATGCAGGCTCATTTTTTTTTGATCCATCAAGCACCTTCTTTTCTTTTTTTTTCTCTACTTTGTTTCACCTAAGAGCTTTTTAAAAATTCATTAGCGCTTTTGCACACAGCACATCTGGGAGACGCTTATTGATTTTTTATTAATAGCTTGTTTGTTGTAATAAATTATTTTGTGCTCGGGCGATGAATATGTAAAGCTGGCTGATTGGCCCCCGGCGCAACTAACAGAAGAAGAAAGCATAAGAAATTGTTCATTCATCCGAAGGAATAAAAATAAAATAAACAAAACCTGTATTGATTTTTTTTTCTTTTTGATCGTCCTGTAATGTATACAGCTGTTTGCCTTCGTTCAATCGATAAAACACAGTACGTTTCCCCTGTGCAGCAATCAATATAAATATGCTTGGTGAAACTGTCATGATATCAATATGACCTCCCGGCAGCATGTGTGAACGTTAGCGATCAGGAAATATCAATAAGGATAGCAACCTCTCCTCTCATGTCGATGAATGACGGTGAGATTCGAGGTGTAGATTAAACAGACGCAGAAGCTGTGGAAAAAAAAACACATTAGAGAAAATAACTAAAACAGCATATTTCATTACAGAAAATGTACAGTGGTACAAAGATGGTTAACCGTTGGATATTTCATGCTAGCTTAATGCCAACTCTCTCAGCAACAGACATTGCAACACAAATGGTGCAGCAGCATGTGTAGAAAGACAAATTCTCAAAGGCATATATTTACCACTGTTTGGAAAAAAGAATAAAATCACATTTTTCATCCCTTTACGCTTACTACAATAAAAAAATTACAGGCGGATCACTACTATTGTCCTTGCCAATTGGAGTGAAGCGTTTTTCATCCCTTTACGCTTACTACAATAAAAAGTTACAGGCAGATCACTACTATTGTCCTTGCCAATTGGAGTGAAGCTAATGTTGACCGATTAATCGGCCAGTGCCCTAATTATTACTTTATGTTTTTCTAAAGCACAGTGCTGTTTTTCTTAAGAATCATGTTACAAAATTTTGTGTTTGTGTTTTCGTGAATTAATTTTGTAAGTCACCACAATACTGATTGAAGAAATATTGTACCCCTGTTTGCACAGAGAATCCCCAAAATAATCATCAAAGCTCACCTCACGCAGCATTTTTCCGCCTGACACTTTACATGCTCAAACTGCGACGGTAGAGAAGTTCGTCACTTGAAGGACAAGAACGAGAATGCGACAGTCTCCAGCATCCTGCCAGCTCTCACTCAAGCGTTACTTGATGCCGCCATTCCACTTCGCTCTATTTATCGCCTTTTTCAGGCGTGTTTACTGTGGCTCGTCACTCATGCGCCCGCAGAAAGGGACAGAGCGCCTGTCTCTGGTGCGCGTATAAAACTTTTAGTGGGCTAACAAAGTGCAAGATGCTGGGAGGGATGAGTGAAGCCGAGGATGAAACGGTATTAAGTAGGAAGTATTTACTACTGCTCATAAAGCTGTTGTGTCCATCGGCGCTTTCTGGCTTATCAGCGGAATTTTTCTTCCGACTCGAACCTAAATATTAACAAAGAACTCACAATCTCGTGTCACTCATCTGTGTAGGATACGCGTGGGTCAACATTGGTCGACACTGGACAAACTCTCAAAAAAAGAGTTTCTTGTTCAAGCACTCCTAGAAATGGCAAAAAGTGTACAATTCAAACCAACACGGCAGATTTCTTGTGACTTTTTGGGCATTGCTTCTTGAGACTTTTTTTGTGGGTCTACTCATGATAGACATGCCCACCAAATTTCATGGGTGAAACTGATTTCAGGAGCTAAATTTTCCCCGGCTGTGAGAACCGTTCAGCGATTGTGGTTTACCCCGCCAATAAAACCCATGCAGTCGTAAGCTAGCCCGCGCCTCCGTCCGCCATAACGACAGCTTAAGCGTTAAAAAAACGATCAGCTGCAAAACCGAAAGAGAGAATCGGTTAACTTGAGCTGCAATGTTGTTTTTTTTTTGGGGGGGCGGCGGGGGGGGTTCCTGTGTATTTTTCAATTATGGACGGAATGCCATCAGGTTCCTCTTTGTTGGCCACGTCTGATAAAAACACACGAGGAATTTGTGTCCGTAGTTGGAGTCACACAAAATATACATCATCGTACATACTAAGTGCCATCAGCAGGTTGCGTGAGACAAGTAGAGCGACTGGAAGAGTAACAGAAAGGCAAAGACAAAGTAGAAATGGACATCTTTGGAAATTCATGAATCAAACGCAACATTTTGTGTGTGGATGTAACTTGTGGAACCTTTTCGTAGCAGGAACTGCAAGTCAGTGGAAATGTATCTTTAGCATCTCATTTTCTCTGCAAAGTATACCTTTGCATGAGGCTTCTGCAGCTGTGAAGTGGAAAAAATAGTGCACACGCAGCCCAATAATACATTGTTTCTCATCTGAAATGTGGTCCTTAACATTCCACTGGCTTTAATTAGATCCTCACAGTAGCACATTGCAATTTACATGTTTATGCTTTTTCAAGTTAATTAGCTTGCTCGCTCAGCCAGACCCAACGCACACGCTGCTTCACTCTGCATTCGTCCCTTCTTTTTTTGTTCTGTTTACAGAAAAAAGAAGCTTATTTCGACGCACACGATGTCTTGACTGTCGACCAAAAATCAATTGCTTCTTTTAATAGCAACAGAATGTCGCCATTAGGATGCCAGTGAGGGGTTTATTGCTTTCATTGAATCAAAAAGAAAAGTTGTTCATGGCATCTTCCCAAGTCACCGTAAGTAACCAGTAAATACTCTGACATGCGTGTCTGTCTGTCTATCTATCTATCTATCTATCTATCTATCTATCTATCTATCTATCTATCTATCTATCTATCTATCTATCTATCTATCTATCTATCTATCTGTCGATCTGTCTATTCGTCTGCTTGCGCCTTGTTTAAATCCACCAAAATTGCATTACACCACCTGCACCACAAGTTAGACCTGCTTTTGGCTAGTTTAAAATTTTGTCTACATTGGTCACCAAATTGAGAGATGCACCGGGGGGCGGGCAGATGCATCACCCGGAACGCCCAGCGTGGCAAAGTGCGCCAACCAAATCCACAAACACGTTAAACTTGAGTTTGCCCTACACAAAAATGGAGATGTGCCCGTTTTTACGCCGAGCGCAGTCTAATTTCTGTTATCTATTTACACGTGTTGTTATTGTTTTGAATACCTTCGAATTGAAAAATGTAACCCCGCACTAAATAGTTAAATATGATCACTAAAAGTTAACTTCACAATGGTTGCACATTTCACACCCATCCATCCATCCATCCATTTTCTGATCCTCTTTATCCTCACAAGGATCGCGGGGGTGGTGGAGCCTAACCCAGCCATCTTCGGGCAGTCGGCGGGGGACACCCTGAACCGGTTGCCAGCCAATCGCAGAGCACACACAGACGAACAACCACCCATGCTCACACTCACACCTATGGACAATTTAGAGAGTTCAATCAGCCTGCCATGCATGTTTTTGGAATGTGGGAGGAAACCGGAGTACCCGGAGAAAACCCACGCAGGCCCGGGGAGAACATGAAAACTCAACACAGGGAGGCCTGAGCTGGATTTGAATCCGGTACCTCTGCACTGTGAGGTCGATGCGCTAACCGCTGGGCCACCGGGCCGCCTACGTTTCACATTTTCCTTGAAAAATGTTGAAAGCATAAATAAATGATGTGTGAATTTGGTGGTTGCTCAGTCAATCTGTCCAGCAGAAAAACAAAAGATGTCAATGCACTTTGGCCTCATCCTCATCAAAGACGAAAAAAGAAAGACCATTTTTCTTTTTCCCTGCTTGTCTTCACCAAGCCGACATATGATCTTGTTTATTTTTCAGTGAAAACATCGCCTCCGGATGACAGACGACACCCACATGGGAGAAGAAAGACACGTGTACGACAGTCGTTGCAGACAGTCGAGTCACCTCTCCCGTCACTCATACTTCCATGTGGGCACGTTGGCAGGGGAGCGAAACAAGCCAGCCTTTGGAGGTGTACTCCCAGCGCCACTCTTCATCTGGCATGAACACACACGCACACACACACACACACAATAGGCTGGTCCACGCTGAACTTGATTACAGTGCCAAGGTAGGTACAGTCGTCTTGGTTTTCCACATCCCTTCCCTCCTCATTGAAAACATTGCAGCCTGACATTTTGCGCCAACGTCTGTTATTGTTTTTCTGGGCCAGGGTCCCCCGCTTCTGGCCCGCCACCCTCTGGGCAAAGTGGCTGATGGTCACGCTCGCCGCTAATTGTGAGTACTGTGCAGATAAACGGCGGGGAAAAAAGAGGTCAGGAGTTTAAAGAGTCCGAAACATGCCGGCTGGTGGCAGATGAGGTTATTATTAACCCTGCGAAGGTTGCTAGTGCCATTGAAAATAGGCCTCATGTTAGCAGCAAAGCTTTGAGCCAGCAATGTCACAAAAACATCGCATTATTTTACATCCTCTCAGCTGACTGAGGGACCTCCACTCTGCTACTGTTTGTTAGTCTTTGGCACATTTTTATTGATTATGTAGATGTGGCTATTCCCCCATAGTTTCAGCAAAGCTCAAGGAACAGGTCAGAGTGACGTTAAAGCAGTGTGCACGGTATGAGTGTGCCTGGCTAAGATTGACACTTTGTCTGTCACTCCTTCTGTCTCTGATTGGTTGTTTTTCCTCAAGTGTGGTGGTTTCTTTAATCATTGACTGCCAACCATTTCAGAGCATTTTGAAAATTTCAAGCCCCACGGGATATTTTGTTCAAATGAAAGATTCTTTTGTTTAAAAGTGCAAAAATAAAATCTAAAAACAATCCTAAAATGTATCGAATGTAATCGAGTGCTGCAAGGAAATTGACACCTTATCTGCAGATGAGTTAATCAAACTTGTGAATCGACCCTGTCTTGATGGAAATGACATTGTTAGGTTTAAAAAAGCTGAATCTCGCCGACTGGTCTTGTCCCTTTCTTTCAAGTACGAGAGCGCTGACTTTGCAGAAAAGCTGCTTTCAAGTCTGCTGGGACACCTCTTCACCCAGCAGGCTGCATCGTTACGGGCGATGTTTTGTCGGAAAACATGCCTGTGGAGCTGCTCCTGGCTCTGTTTGAATTCGAAATCTTTAAAGCAAATCTGCGGGGTGTTTTGACGTCTCGACTTGCCAGTTGCAATGTAGCCGCCTTCGTCTCATTACGGCGAAAGTTTGTTTTTTCTAGACGCCTTAGAATCTCTCCGAGCCGGGGAAGATCAGTTGATTTTATCACACCGTTCCCTCATATGTTTGTTTACGCTGGCTTTTTCTCCAGAAATGCTCCCCCTTTTAACCATTCATACATAATCGGTGATTAGTTAGTGCTCCAAAACAAACTCAAAACAGATGGGTAGAATTTTGGGTGGTTGGTGGATGGCCTCCATTTACGCAGAATATGCGTTAGAACTGACGCTCGTTGACATGGACTGGGTGGCTGGCTGTGGCGTAACGGAATTTCCAGCCAGTAAAAATAATCATCTCGCTTGCTAATGGGACAGCCAGTTAGTTATTTGCACAACTTGCGCAAACAGGGAAGCGTCATTGTGGGCCCATCAAGCAGCGGTGTTTGCCAAAAATCATGGACATTTTTGTGGACAGTGGAAAAATTCCTTGTACTACTTGCACTTTGCTAGTATGTGTTCAAAAATGTGGAAAAAAACCCCCCAAAAAACTAACAAAAAACACTTTAAATTCATTTGAGACTGATTTCATTCAGCATATTCATCCATCCAAGCGGCTTTGCCTCCTAAATAAAAAAAAAAACATGTCACTCCAAACATCATTATGGAGTATTAAAGTCAACTAGTGCGTACAATCCCAAATCAATAGTTCCTCCCCACTGCAAGGCTTCAAACAGGTGCGTCTCAGAGACGTGGCAACTGAACTCAGTGTGTCATTGAGAATCATCTTCAGGTTTTAAAAGAGATTCAGAGAGACTGGAAGAGTCACAGAAAGGCATACAAATCGACACCCTGGAAATATATTGCCCTCATCATAGATCCAATACTTGATGTGAACTTGCTGTTCAGTTCCTTGTGAGAGAATAGTAAGTTGTGTCAGAAGTACAGCCGTAAGAGCGATTGCGCCTTTTAGATTCAACTGGAAATTTGACCTGAGAGCCGAATATAAATACGTTTTGTGAGTCGTATATGATATTTGTTTTAGAATGAAGTCTTTATTTTGAAGCTTTGCATTTCTATGCTATTGCAACCTAGCACCATAACAAATTGTTGAAATAATACCTCTTGGATAGTGTCTATAAAGGTGATTATTATTAATTTTCTGTCGACAGAATTTCACATGAACTTGTCGCGAGAACTGACAATCATTTTTTTCCCCCTCAATGTCTTAAAATCGAATGTCTGGACAGTGATATAACACCATGTTGACTCGCGACCTTCCGTTCCTTGCCTCTTTCACGGCACTTGCCGCCCTATTCCCAATGACACCATGTTCACCGAAGCGATCGTCATTTTGGCATGCCCCACTAGCTTTACTGGTATCACTGTTCACACGTTCAGGGTCATGTGACACTGAACCATGGGTGACACTGGAGCCCGTTACTCCGGAGGGTTGAGGTGTTGCCATGGAGACTAGATGTGATGATTGAGGCTGAAAAAGCCTGTGATGAACTGTCATACTATCGATTGCATATGCAAATATGCCCATTTAAATAGCATCAAGCTAAAAGCAATAGTGCTAATAACCGGCATGGAAATGACTGGCAAAGCTTGCTTACGAATGTTTGTGTCTTCAAAATGAGTATTTTTACTTGATTGGAGTTTTATTATACAGTGGTTTTGGTGAAAATCTTTCACACAAAAGTTTCTTTTGTAAGTAGCTAAAAGCACAGTGGCTAACAATTAGCATAGAAATGACCTCCAAAGCTTGATAAGAACTTTTTTCCTGTAAGGGATTTTTAAATGATAAACACCTTCACTTTATTTAAATGCTGTTACGCAATGATGGTGGTGAAAACCTGTCACGCAAATGTTGCTAACAGAATTAGCACATTGAAAGCATCATAGCTAGCATGGAAATGAGCGGGTGATACTTTCCAAAAATTGTTTCTTGTAAGGGTTCTGCAACTGACAGGTAGTTTTACTTCAGCTTTATTAAACAGTGTTTTGAATAAAAATCTATTTCCCACATGTTGCTAACGCAAATAGCATTTCGCTGAAAGCACAGTGGCTCACGACTAGCATTGAAATGACGGGTGAAGCTTGCTCATGAACTGTTTCCTTTTCCCTCTCCATTACATTCAGGCATATTCAAATGATAAGCAGTTTTATTTCATTTGAGTTTTGTTATACAATGGTTTTAATGAAAAAAAAAAGTCACACAAACGTTGCTAATATAAATAACATTCAGCTGAAAGCTCAGTGGCTAATGACTGGCATGGAACTGGCCAAACACAGCTTAACAAGCCAATATTTCCCGTCAGCCGATCAAATTGTGAGTAATTTTGCCTGATTTTAATTTTTCATGATAACGTCGTTCTGATGGAAATCTGTCACACAGATGTGGCTTATATAATTTGAGTGTAGCTAAAAGCATACTTGCTTAATTTTACTATTATTATAGCGGTTCACTTGTCTCGACACATGGAGAAGCAGCTTCAAGATTGCCAATAAAACAAGGGAGGATATAAAAATGCATCAGCAATAACGAATATTATTGCGTAAACAATGAGCAACCTGAGTGATGCGCCACCATTATCAATGTTATCATCCATATGTTCATCGCTCGGACTGATTATGTCCTGCAATGCTCCAGCGGGCATGTTATGCACGTACGCTAAGTGTAGCAAATATGCCTACCCAATATCATCTGGCCTCAGAGCTGCTTCTATAATGCATGAGGATCAATATGCTGTGGCTTTGTGAGCGAGACCGAGTATTCCTGCCAACTGCCCGGTCGTTTAAAGCCAGTCTTGCATTTGGATAGGTCCGAATTTGGGGAAGAGACGATTGATTTTTTTTTTGGACGGTTTCTGTCATTTGAAGTTTGTATGACAGGCATTGATGGCAATGGTGCATAATCAGCAATAAGCTTTCCATTTCTACACTTGATTAAAACCCATTTTGAAACCCTAACCTCAAAGCTGACCCTCAAAGCCTAACATTAAAACCGTAACCCTCGTTTAAATCCCTAACCCAGGATGTGAAATTCTAAATTTAAAACCCTAATTTGAAAACTAAAGTCTAAAAAAAACAAAAAAAAAACACCTTTTGGGAAACTTCATTCCCTTATTTGAAACCCTAATTTGAAACCCTAATTTGAAAACCTAACCTGGACTGGAAACCACTCACACTGACGTAGAAACTTATTTTCAAACCTTTTACCCTGGCTTGAAAGCTTAATTTAAACGTTGACTGTCTTCAAGCCCTAACTCTCTCTTGAAACCCCAACATGGCTTAGAACCCTACTTAATTTTAAAAACCTACTTAAAATCTAATCCGAGACCATAACCCTATCTATAAACGTTGATTTGAAACCCGAACCCAGGCTTTTAAACCACAACTTGAAAGCCTAACTATAACTTAAAGGCCTACTTTGAAACGTTAACTTTAACCCTTTCAGAGACAGCGGTTACTACTAGAGTTAAACAAACCAAATAGGAATGTACAGTATCGATTATAAACAAGCCCTGCGATTGACTGAGGACCAGTCCAGGATGAACTCCACCACCAGCCTCCAGCTCACCGACCACTCCGAAGAGGACAGCTGATCTAGAAAATACACGGATGGGTAAAACAATCTCACATACTGTAAAAGAATAACAAACAGTTTCAGTCTGTGTATGTACACACTATGCAAAGATAGCATTCATTTAGAAACGGTACACCGGTAATAAAAATCGACAAGCGTGGGCAAAAAGGTATTAGTACAGATGGAGAACATCTGGGCTGCATTAAGGTAAATGTAAATAACATTTTCCTACAACTGATGCATGGCCACAATAAGTAGTCCCCCAGCTAGAACAGTATACCGACAGTGTGTTTACTTAGGCATTCCACTGCCTTTTATATTTAATAGTCTCCCACTCAGAAATGGAGAATATTTAAAAGGATTGCCCTTATCTTTTCCAATGTTCTAGGAGGATCCATTTTCTGCAGCAAATTCACGTGATGAATGAATGGTCCGGTGTGGTTCTCACTAATGTTCCTGATTGCACCCTGGGCATATCGACACGGGCGAGGAGAGGTCTCGGCGGCACCGCACTAAGCCGACGAGGTGACGCCTTTTCGGCTCATTGGAGTGACACTGATCTTACCCAGAGGAGCACTCAAAGGACAGAGCGAGGCTTGAATGAAAGGAAACGAGCAGGACGTGGTGCACGCTGCGGGAAAAGAAACAGAGTCGCTGAGGATCTTTGATGCCAATGCCAGAGAGAGACTTGTGAGGTCAGCCGAGCGTTGACGCTTTCACAGGTGAGATAATGATGACACCTGAGACGCTGCTGCTGTACACTGGACTGCATCAGAGCGTGAAGTTTGGTGTAGCATTTAAAACCGTGTAAGGCAGAGATGGACTCGCAGAAGCCATGACGATGAAATAGGTGTTTCCGCCTCCCAGTATGGTTTGGTTCAGTTTGGTACGATATGGATTTTCACTTCTCAGGGCTTCATTGGGCTGGACACGCGCGCATCGCTCACCTCACCGAGTGGTTGAGGCAAGCTCAGTGCGACTTATCCTGTACCAGCTAGCTAGTAACAAGCTAGCTACTACTAGTGCGGCTAAATACGTTCCAGAGTTGCTTCACAGTTAGTCATCATTGCCTTCATGGCGGCAAATAAGTTACACTTGGCGGCGAATAAGTTACACTTCTGACAAATACTGTTCTCACAAAGGGATGACGAGGAAAGAAATCCACGCTAATTGCTAAGCTAACACAAGAATGACACATCACTGTTGAATAGTGACATTGGGTGATCAAGTACACTTTTCACTGAAGTCTGGCTGGAACCGCATTAAAGCGGAGAACATCCAACTTTGAAGGGCAAATTTGCAAGTACATTAATAAGCATCTGGACTCTGGAGAGACAATCAAATTTACTAAAAAACCCAGAAACTCGAAATGAATCAAGTTACGTTAAGGCGTGTTAGCCAGGAGGAGTGGCCTATAAGCTGAAAAGTATATTAATGTAGTATAAAATATTTTGAAAGTCATGAACGTTTTTTGGTTGTTTTCACAATAGAGTTCTAAGTTTTGATTTTAGAATTTTGAAATCTGCAGGAAAAATGTTTTCAAAAGTACGGTGCAGTTGATTTTATCTTAAAAAAAAATAGCATTGCTAAAAAAAAGCATACAACGTATCCAGAATCACATTAATAAGTTTTAATAAGTTCAAACCGAAATTTATTTTCTCTCCATTGTCAGCCTCCAGTCAGTCCGTTCAGGAAAATTAAGATAGATTAATGAAATTCCCGATGGCCACCCCTGTCTACCTCACACTTGTGAGATTTAGGGTTCGAATCTGTGGCGTTTGTATGTTCTCCCCATTCCAGAAAAGTGCAGTTTGGTTCACTAAGGAAATTGTTCATAGGTGGCAATGGGAGTGTGGATGGTGGTTTGTCTGCATGTGCAATGTAATTGAATGGCAAAACAGTACACGAGGGACAGGCTCAAGCTCACCAGAGAATAATGAGAAGCGCTCTCCAAAATGGATGCTTGGACACCAGTGCGGAAGGAGTGAGCATTCGGGTGGTACTGGCATATTTTTCATTCTTTCTGGGTCCAATAATAAACCAAAAAAAAAAAAATCTCACTGACCCATTTGCAGAACTAGACAGATGATAAACAATTTTTGCTTGTTTAATTTCACGCTCAATGTGTACAGAGACGCTCCACCAACCCACTGTCTGTATACAAGCAATTAAAAAGTCAATTTTTACACAATCGGTCCTCTTTATTTATTGTTTTTTTTCACTGCAACAATTTCCACGGGAATTTATAAGAACTCCCACAAAAACTTTAAAAGCACTGTGGAGATCTTAGAAGTGGACTATTTCCCATAGGCTTCTGTACAAAAATTGTGTGTAACCCCTGCGATGATGCAAAGACAATTGTAAGTGGCGTCGCCAACCGCACACTCCGCAACGAAAATGCAAATGTGCTGCGATGAAAACGCTACCCATGAAACCCACTATACAGGATATTGCCAGCAGGTTTGCAGCGATAGAGCATATTATTTTCATCAGGTCCATCAATAAATCATTTTTCAAGCGTCACAAAAAAAAAAAAAAATGCCTGGGAGAGGGAGCGCAGCATATCGAACGCATGAAGCGACGCAACTGCGGCATTGAACCATAACAGTGCCTGTGTTGCATCTTACAGCAAAAGCTTCGCGATCCGGAGAGAGCTTCGAAAGCATCAAATGAATCTCAGTGTTAAAAGGTAGCAGTAAAAAGTGGGGTAAGAAGAATTTCTATGGCTTTGTAACATAGCCATAGAAATTCTTTTCCATGTTTTTTTTTCCATGGTATAACATAACCTATGTTATACCATGGAAAAAAAAACACAATACAAAAGTAGTCAGGAATGTACTCCTGGGCTATGAGGTGTAGCGGGAAGACGGAAACCTTTTCTCACTGTGTAAATTTTGTTTTGGTTCAGTTGAATTTTTGCATGAAATCTCTCCCACAAAACCAGAAAGGTGGAACAGTCGTTTGCAACGTGTAATTTACTTTGTTACACAATATTTCGTAATCGTTTTTTTTTTAATCGTGCTCCTGAAGTGTATTGCTTATATCTATAAAAAACTAAAACAAATTCTAAGGCTAATAAAAAAACAAAAATGAAGCAATTCCCCCCCAAAATAAAATCAAGCAAAACAAACAAACCCTCTCTGAGATCTCATTAAAAACAAACAAACAAACAAAAAAAAAACAATTTGAACAATTTAATTTGAAAAAATAAAAACAAACTAGAATGAAAAATCCCAAACGATTACAACCCTGGTTAAAAGTGATTTCCCCACAAGTTCAATGTTTTAACTCAAAAATTAGATTTTTTTTTAAAGCTGTGATTCAACATTAGGACATACTGTATGTCTGTTAGCTATCATTTATGCCTGTCATATACCTTTTTTTTTTGTTAAAGCCAACAAGCCCCCGGGCCACTTTCCCTCCAACCTAATGGCCGACTCAAATGGCTGCCGGTCTTGTTTCATTGTGGTAATTGGGGGCACAAGCGACACTGCAGCAATATCTTCGCTGTCCTTTTTTCCTGCTGAGATTCTTCTGCCACCCCCTCTGGGTCCCCTCTGATGTAGGAACAAGCTCCCGCTCGAATAATATCATAATTGCTGTTTCCCCACACGGTGAACGATTGCAAGCGAGCTTCAATGATAGACACGGGTATCAGCATGTTGATGTATGACCCCAAAAGGAATTAAGGTTACTTTTTTCCTCAAGTATAAATCAGTTCTGTACTGTTTGTGTGTCCTTGAAGAGGTGTGAATTTCCGATATGAACCTGACATGAGTGCGCATCCCCTCGCACAGCAATTCCCGCTTGATCGCACATCATTTGAAAGACATGCAAAACTCTTATCGACTTGGAATTTCATTCGCCGTTGTTGCAAGGCCTCCTGCGCGCCGACGACTAATGGGAGCCAGACAGTGCGCTGGCGTTTGAACAATAATTTCCTCAGTCCGGCTGAAGGCAGGCTGCTGACGCTCCAGTTTGCTTCTCCGAAAACTCCCTTCTTCCCTCTCGGTAATCCTCCGATGGGAAAGCGGAGAGAGAGACCGGATTGCTGACAGGGACATCACTTTTCTTCCTCGGCATGCCTTGTTTACAGTCTCCTGCCCGTTGCTGCTATACCCACCACTCTCCAAGGAGCCATAAAAAACAAATAGGGGCTTTTAGAGAAATTGCCTGTGCACTGGCGATTAATAACACTTGCACCAGCTCACAAGTTCTCCTGAGGCAACCCCCCCACCCCCCCAAAAACAAACAACCAACCAAAAAAAAATAACCGTTGGAGAATTAAGAGTGCCACATCCCTAAATTGGGATGATGCAGGGCTCCTACTGATTTTGAACAAGACAATTCAACTTTCGCCAAGCCGCGCCCTTTGGAATACAGAGTGACTTGTCACAGAAAAGGAAGAAAGTAAAATGCGTTGCAACGTTTAATAATGATGCTAATTTGAAAGATAGATGGGTCATCTTCAGTTAAGTGCTCAGCTCCCTTGCTGTTGGAAAAAAAAATGCTGACTTTTAATATGTGCCATTACATTCATTTAGCATGTGGAGTGATCCGGCAAATCATTTGACCCGCTTTGTGTAAATGCTTGCATGCAAACACACGTCTACGGCTTCACCACGCTGACCTCACCATGATTAAAATGATTAGGCAGAGATATAATAAATCATCCTAATGTTCGCAATATATACGTGAATAAACGGTCTTTTTATGCTAATGTTTTTATGGGGGGGGGCACTTTTGAATAATTAAGCGCCACCTTTTACACACGTTTAAACGCGGAGGACTTCTGCTGATGAACTGCGGCAATTGTGCTCTTTTTTTCAGCGCGGCTGACCGGTTACTATGGTAACAGTTCCTTGCTGACGCACGCATGCGCACAAGCACGCAGCAACCATCGCTGGCGTCCGTAAAAAGTTGCATAGCAACCTCATGGGCGACGTTGACTAATTCTTTGCCAGAAAAAAAAGGAAAAGAAAAATACACGACTCGTGGACATGTGGAGGAGTAAAACAACGTCACACGTTCAAGCGTTTACCGTCAAGGCCGCCATGAAGAACTCCGTGGTGAGTGACGTTGTCGTTTGACGTGGCTAATGGCTACCCAGCTGACGTTAGCTTGAATAGGCTTAATTAAACCCCTTTCACGGAAGTGTTTATGTGTTCAAGTGTGCAATGCCTCATTTTTCTCTGCAAATTCAGTTTTTTTTTTGGGGGGGGATAACTACAACTACAGCAAACGTGGAGATGCATTCTGTGAGGTTATTTGAAAATAAAGTGTAATTAGAGTTTAAAAAAAAAGGATTTAGAAAATATTTTTCTTGTTTTATTGTGAGTGTCTAATAATCTCAATGTCACCACAAAAATAGGTCAAATCGTACCTTTGAAGCCAGGGGCCACATGCCGAAGAAAATGCAAATGTCTGTGCTAAAACCTTGGAGAGGTTGAATTAACATGAAAGGGTACAGAGTTGTTGGTGTATGGTGCACATGATTGCAGTATTTACATATCTGGGTCACATGCTGTAATCTCATGTCATTGAATTTCTCATCCAAGAAGCTTGATGAAAAGGAGTTTTTGTTTTTTGGCTGTCCATTTACATTGATGTGACCCTTGTTTGTGGATCCGTCCGTGGCTGAGTGTGTCACGCTTTACAGTTCTACTTTTACAATTGTGCCAAATTGTGTTCCTCTCCTGGTAAAAATGTGACCCTTTGTCCACCAGAATTCCCTCACGGGCTGGACACTCAACGAAGCAAAACCCGCAAATGGGCTGACGTTTATTTGGCAAAATGGAGAGTGGCCAAAAGATACAGAAATCACTGATCTCGAACCTGTGGCAGCTGTAACGCATCATGATCTTTCCGAATATTTGTGTTTAGTAATTTGTTGTGTTTTGCACTTCAGGGCCACCATATTTTTATCGTTATAAACAAATCACAAGACTTCTGTATATATCCCTTTAATATCCACCATCTCCCCGGAGGATCTGCTTGAGTGATGTTCTCGCACCACAGGCTAAATCCAGGAAAAAAAAAATACAGTTTTCCAGAGGCTTACTCCTCATATCTGCCGCCCCTGTGTTGTTTTCCTCCCC